ATGTAACTACTGTCGAGGAGCATTCAGTCTGAAGCCTGAAACTCTGGAGTGGGAGGTAAGACCGTCTTTTGATGTACAGTTATCACAGTCACTGTTTTCTTATAGCATTGTAAAATACCATAAACAGAATTTGCAATCATGTTCAAACCAAAAATAACACGTCCTAGCTTCACAATATATAAACCTATATTGAAAATATTTAGCTCCAGCCCCGGTCTACCTGGACAGAGATGGACAGGGAAAAAAATTGTCATGTTCAGTCAAATTCTCTGTGTAAGCCAGTTTATTTCAGCTGAAGTAGCTCTGTGTACTAATATTTCATGCTTGCAGATTGTACCACCATTCAATCTTAAACCTAGTACACATACAGTATATTTATTCAGTGTTTGTTTTTAGGATAAAGTCTACCAGTTCTGCAGTAAGACATGCTGTGAGGACTACAAGAAACTCCACTGTATTGTGACATTTTGTGAGTACTGCCAAGAGGAGAAGACGCTACACGAGATGGTCAAGTTCTCTGGGGTCAAGAGGCCTTTCTGCAGCGAGGGTACTAATCTTTCATCCTCTTCTCTCCAGTTGAGACTCATTTTAGTTGATTAATCATCTTTATTTTTTCCCTTGCTTCCACCTGTTGCTGTTTCCAGGCTGTAAGTTGTTATATAAGCAGGATTTTATCAAGCGGTTAGGTCTGAAGTGTGTCAGCTGTAACCACTGCAACCAGCTGTGTAAGAGAGGCCTGACTCGGCAGCTCGGTGGCATGACTCGGGACTTCTGCAGTGAAGCATGTGCCAAGAAGTTCGACGACTGGTACCACAAGGTCTGTTCATACTCAGTGTATCTATTGTTGTCACTGATGTTTTATTTTGACATGCAAAATAAATATGGCAAAATTAATGTTCAATTTGTCAACTTCCTGTAAACATCTCTTTGTGGCCACTAGGCAGCGCGGTGTGACTGCTGTAAGGTGCAGGGCAACCTGACGGAGTCTGTGATGTGGAGAACAGAGATGAAGCATTTCTGTGACCAGGAGTGTTTGTTGAAGTTTTACTGCCAGCAGAACGAGCCCATCATGGTCACACAGAAAGGCCCTGAAAACACAACCCTAGGTACAAACTGTGTGTGTGTGTGTTTCCTCTGGAAGAACTAAGGTCTGCCCTCTTAAGCACATGTGTACTGATCCTTGAAAATGCTTTTTAGGGGTAAAGTATACATGAATTAATGTGATTTGAAGAATGAATGCCTGCTTATGTTACTTTGTGTCACTCAGACTTCATGAAGCAAAGATATGACGTTATTCATCCTCCTTATTACAGGGTTTGAAATGCAAGGGACCAAACTTGGGGTAAGTAAGAGCTTGGTAAACCTGTGGCTGTCTTTCCCCTACATTGACTTATTTGTGACAGGCCGCTACAATATCAAAATTGACCGCCACGTATTGATTTCAAATATTGTCTTATTTCAGTATAGTGCCATGCGTAGTGCATGTATTTGTACCCTGCTCTGTTTCTATCTCATACACACAAACATTCGACAGCAGACTGTAACAGCTCCTCCTCAGTTTTTTTTTTTGTAACACAACACTATCAATTGCAGAGATCCAACTCTTCTTTGTTATTAGCAAGCTTGTAAGACTAGCTAAGCTAACGTTAGAATACAGCTGTTGCCGAGGTCAGCACGCTGTATAGATGTGGACTGCTCTGCAAGTGGATAAAGTTAATGCTAGTTCATAAATTCTGATGCTGAATGTTTGCCCCGTCAGTCCCGGGGAATATTGAAAAGTGCATGTGGGAAAGCTGATTAGTCCGACCAGTGTTATTTACGATAAACTGATTCATTTCGAATATTTACTGGCTTCAACCAGTGCTGGTGAAGCAGCAAGAGAGGATCAGGAAGAGAGAGATGTACAAGAGCAACGTGCTACTACTGTGGGAGAGCCATCTAGTTCAGGAGGGACAGGTCATATGAACAGCACAGAGGTAGCCTACTAAAGTATTACTCCATTTAATAAAAATAAAAAATTATGAAAGCGTGACCCCCCCAAACAGCTTGTGTGCTAGAATCCATTATTGTTGCTTTCTCTAAAGTTGTTCCTGTCCATTTAGTGCAAAGATGTAATTAAATTCGTGGCCTAATCATTTGGAACTGTACTGGATCCACTCTGGAATGTGTAACCTCTTTGTTACCAATTGATATTTCCTGTTATGTCAGATGTGCTTTTACAGTGACCCCATCATTTGTTTTAATTTCACCTATAGTAAGTGATCCTTTGTAAGAACAGGAGCCACACTTTTTTTGTAATCCACATTTTTATTTTGCCATGCTGCAGCTGGTGAACCAGGGAACTGTGGGGTACACTGGAGGCAGCTTGGTAAGAGATGTTAAGAACAAGGCAGTGCTCTGCAAACCGCTCACGCTAACCAAGGCTACATACTGCAAACCGCATATGCAGAGCAAACATCTACAGACAGGTAAATGCAGTGTCTTACTTAGTGCTTAAAATTTTCTTTTCTTTTTGGACATCTTTAGTATATTGCATAGTTTGCACAAGGAAACGAAGTTAGATGGAAATGATATGGTGCAGTTAAAGTACGAAGCTGGACTCAAGTCAGAAATGTTGTACAGATACAGTGAACTGCAGACAGTCACAGTTCAGAACACCAATGTGCAGCTTAAATTTGCCAAAGTAAGGTAGTAGAATTGAGACATTTTTGTGTTTTTGAGATGTTTTCTCCTGGATCCTGCTTAACAGTTATGTGGAGGTTGAGAAAGAAAGGTTGACGCACCCTTTGAATTCATTACTTCATGATATCTCTGTCCACAGATGTAGAAGATGGTGTGAAGAAGGAGTATGTTCCTGTGCCCATACCTGTGCCCGTATTCATCCCCATACCCATGAATATGTATGCCCAGATCACTCCCACGCCACTTTCTCTTCCTGTACCGGTAAGACCCTTTGAGCCTCAACACACAAGGACTTTCCAAAGTAAAAGGCAAAAGCTTATCTTGTTAAGGTTTTACCATCTACAAAACAATAAAAGGCTCTATCATAAATGTTGAAATGCTCAAAATGACTCTTCTGAAAATGAATGAGCAAATGCACCTGTCCAAATTGAAGTCTAGAAAAATGATTTAATGTTGAAAATGTGTTAATGAAATTTAGAAAAAAATCTCAGCCATGCAGCATAAGGGGAAATGTATCAACATAATCTCAATGCTAACCAAAAAGCTTTATGTCCTGTCCTGTCCAGGTCCCTGTGCCTGTGTTCTTGCCCACCACCCTGCAGGGGGCAGAGCAGATCATCCAGACCATCAGTGAGCTGAAAACTAAGGTGCCCTCTGACCCTCTGGAGGCTGACCTGCTCTCCATGGCTGAGATGATTGCAGAGAACCAGAGGCCAGGTACTCTCATGAGAAGGCTGGATGTTTGAATTATACCATTAGTGATCATCCATCCATTATATATACCACAGATTCCTGAATAGGGATCAAGGGGGGGCTGGAGCCAATCCCATCTGACATTGGGTGAGAGGCAGGGTACGCCCTGGACAGGTTACCAGTCTATCACAGATATCCTCATAAGTTTGGTTTTACCGGCCAAGGGTAATACATATCTATTATTGAGTATTCTGGTACCACCCTGATGCAACAGAGGTGCATGAAATTTTTGTTGTACTCAAACCATCAACAAACTTTCAATCAAAATGCTACAACATTTTCTTTCCAACAACAATATCCTGGATACAAAATTTGCTGTTGAACACAAAGATTCTATTTGAAGACGTCTTGCAGCAAATGACAGTGAGGACCTATGTGGTTCTGTCTCAGATGTGAAGCCAGTGAAGGTGAAGAGGGAGTGTGGAGCGGAGGAGTCCTCCAGCAGCAGCTCTGAGGAAGAGGAGGAAAAGTATGAGCCCAACTTGGACCTGGAGGCAGACTTCCCTCAAGGTAAACAGGAACAATCTCCATGATAATGTTAAAGCTATGTAATACCTAGTTAAAGCTATGTAATACCTAGTAATAATATTTGTACTATAGTCTGTGTTTTGTAATGCAGGCCTATCCATGCATGAGGGGACTGTTTTATTAATGTTTTTTAAGGGCAGTGAACCTTTTTGTGTGGCACAGTGGTTGGACTTTGTGTCTTCATGCCAGCAGCTTTGTCAACACAGTATCTAAAGAACAATACATACAGTATTAAGGCCCTTTCACACCGGACGCGAATTTAACGCGCGATTTATTCGCGCGTCAATGATATTTTTCGAACCAATAACTTGTCAATGATACATTGCACACCGCCGACGTAATTTCGCGACGCCAAAAGCGACATTAATTTTTTTCGCCTCCGGGTCGATTTTTCCAACTCGTCGCGGCGACGGCAGCACTTCTGACCAATCACGATGCAGCTTGTTGACACGTCAAATTCAACATGGCGGACCGCTTAATCCAATTTGTTTCAGCAAATTCAGTCATCTATGATAAAAAGGACAAAAACTACAAAGATAAT